AAATTGTATGATTTTCTCAACAATGATTTTAGATTGCATTAAATAAAATTGTTATTTACTTAATTCGTTTTAATCTAACCCTTCCACACCGCCCCACCGCTAGGCCCTTGCATGCACTCGCGGGCCAGAAGGTGCTTCACCCCCACGACAACAGAAACCTACATTACCCACGCCGCCGACACTCTCCAACAGATGGAGCACCCCATAACGTCATACATTACGTCACATCATCTGTGACGTCAGCACAAGTCGAACTGTTTCAACTTTGTATTAAAATAATATAGACTTTAATATCCTTCGTTTAAAAAATTCATTGAATTACATTTCAGGAGCTGAGATATCATTTTCTGGAATGTATATAGACTTTATTGTATCACTGTACAAAGAAATAAGAAGATGTTTTTCGCCATCAACTCAAATTTTCGATAATATACATATATCATATTAATAATGGTATGAGATTTAATGACTATCTATCATCGCAAAAGAATTCAGAGACGTCATGAAAATAGTTAATAAAAATAATAGTACTATTAATAGAACTGACATTGTACCAATTCAAGTGTAAAGCCAACGCTTAGTCATTTGAATCATTTCTATCTCTGTATATGTAATAGGTACTTAACATAATGAAAAACATGTCAGTGAAAAAAAATTCACCATATCGGAAAATTTTTGTAGAGGTGAATTTATTACCTTTATTTCAAATTCACTAAACGGATTTAAATTTTAAATTTGGGTAAATATTGAAGAGGGCCAAATCTAGATGTTTAATGTTTAAAAATTTAAAATATCCGCTACGATAGAAATTGATATTTTAAACGAGAAATACGATGTTAAAAATGTTGGTTGCACGATTTTGACCGATAATAATATTTGGAAGATTACGGTAATAATAATAGCAGCGAAATATAAAGGATACATAAAAATAAAAGCAGTTATTTCACCGCTTTATTTTAATTTTTATATCACTTTATAAATATAGGATATTTTAAGAATAGTGTGCCAAAGGAATTTGCCATGTATTAAAACATCGATGTAAAGATCAAAAGGAGAATAAGTTTTTTTTTAGTCAGTCTCAGTTTTCAATTTGCCAAATTTAAGTTTATTTCATTTTAATTCTTTAATCTTTTTCATTACAAATCACAGTGAATGATTAGTTTCTGGAACTCGCTTATCTATCTTTTGGCTGTTAAAGCATATTTTCAAAAAATTTGGTTTGAAAAATATACCTACAAAAGGAAAATTTGAACTTGTATGTATCTTTCAAAGTTTTCATCTTTAATGGCGTTACAGCCGAAATTGAGCCTTGGTATCCTAGATGCTTCGCCTCCAACCATCTCGATCTCCGACCACACTTAGTTTCTAATCCCAAGAAGCTCACGAGTTGTTTCCTCCTCTTGCTCTTGGTCTACCAGGCATACATTTTCCGTTTGGTTGTGTCAGAAACACTTTTTCTGCGGCACCTGTCTCTGGCATACATTGTACAGGGTGGTTCAAATTCTCGGAAACTATAAGAGTTAGAAAAAAGTAACTTACATGTCATGATCTCATGTTTCGAGAAACTGCTAATGCCGAAAACCTCAAAGCCAAAATTGAAAATATCGTAAAACCAAGAAGTGCAATTATCTTGGTTATTATTTTAGGTGGAGTATTATAACTAAGACATTATATGGACACTTTTTTACAGAGAATTTCATGACGTAGTAAAATAGTATATTAAAAAACAAGTTTCGTAAGACACGCTTGAAATGCACGAATTCAAGTTGAAAAACGAGTGGCGAAGCCACGAGTTTTTTAATGAATGAGTGCTTTAAGTCTTATGAAACGTGTTTTTTATGCTATTTTTTGTAATTCGCGTTTTTATACTTTTTTTTAACAAAAATAAAGTAAATTTTATATAAATTTTCAATAGAATTATTTTTAGTTATAGTACCGTAATTTACAGGAAACTGTAAATTTAATTTCTTTGACAACACTAAAAAAAAGATTATTTTTTTAGTTTTATTCTAGAACAATAAGAAATAGACCTATCTAACCCCATATTTTTGTAATCGGAAAAAAATAACGAATTTAATAAGCGAATAATTAGTAGGTGTTTCCATTTAAAAAAACGAAAATTGTCATAATATCTCAAAATCTAAAATCGAAAAATTCTTTTTGACTACGTCATGAAATTCTCTGTAAAAAAGTGTCCATATAATGTCTTAGTTATAATACTCCACCTACAATAATAACCAAGATAATTGCACTTGCTGGTTTTACGATATTTTCAATTTTGGCCTCTAGGAGAAAAACAAAAGACGATAGCGCTTTGAGGTTTTTGGCATTAGCAGTTTCTCGAAAAACGAGATCATGACATGTAAGCTACTTTTTTTCTAACTCTTATAGTTTCCGAGATAGCCTATTCGGACATCGAATTTGAACCACCCTGTACATTCATGCATATTCAGCGGTGCTGCATTAATTTTATGTGTGTTGTTAGGGAACCTCTATGTATAGCTCATATAGTTCGTTGCTATGTCGTATCTTCGACTCTCCTTGAAAATATTATACATAAAAAAGAAGATACAGGAGCAAGAAAGAAAAAAAGTCTTAGAAGTACAAAATAAATAGCTTTTAGCATTGGCTTTATGTGTTAGTGGATTGGATTTAGGTTATAAAATTACCAAGATAGAACGATAGGACATTTCAAAGCCGTTTTAATGTCTAAAAACGAGTTCTTTTAATTCTTCCAACATTCTAATCATAATCCTTTAAGTTTCAGATGAAAATTTTTCATGTATTATACAGGGTGTTCCGGTGACTCGGGGCATAAAATTAACCTCATATACTAGAGCAAAAATGATGACGATTCGTGAAAAAAAATTATTATAAAAGTCTTCCAATGGCCAAGATATGGGCCATCAAAGTTCAGAAATTTTAACACATTTTTCTAAATATTTTCAATACCATTTATGGTAGAGCGTTGAAATTTGGTAGAGGGTAAACAAATATCAAGCAAAATCTTTGAACCAATTTTGACTTTGATCGGGCGGCGGCAACCATGCTATACAGGCTGTCCCTAAAATTTGTTTGCTCAGAACTTTTTTGTTCGCTCGTAACCCTACATTTATTTTTGTACTTTTTAATAGAAAATTTATTTTAGAAACTTTTATCACTCTGTGAAAATTTTGATAACATTAACTGTTTTCGAGTTATACGCGAAAATATTAAACTTCAATTTCAATGGTAACACTAAAAAAACGAAGTCTTCGAAAAAGTCAAGGTTGGCCATGGCAATTAAAAAAAACAACTTGCTGTCAACTCGCTTATGTCGTTTAAACACAAACGATAGTTCTGTTAGTTAGTTATTATTAATTTTAAGTGTTGAAAATGGAGAGTTACACATTTAGTGAACAAACTGACATGATTTTGACATTAGGGCAATGTCAATGCATATTGCAGTCGCAGTGGGCAATTGGCATATTGCCAAATAATGCAGCACAAAATCCAAATTGATGATCAGTTTTTAGAAAAAGTACTTTTTACAGATGAATCTACTTTTTCTAAAGATGGAATCATCACTTTGAGAAATTTACATAGTTGGGCAGACGAAAATCCAAGATTTAAGAAAACTTGGAAATCACAATGGAGATTTTCTCATAACGTTTGGGCTGGCATTGTGGGCGATGAAATTATTGGACCCGTTTTCTTACCATCAAGGCTGGATGGACATACATACAGGCGACATTTAGAGAAATTAGATGATTTTTGAGATGATGTTCTTTTAAACACAAAGCAAGCAATGTGACAGCAGACAGGCTGTCCAAGAATTTCTGAGGGAACGTTTTCCGGGACGGTGGGTTGAACGAAGAGTAGGTGCACCCATAAGTTGGCCCCCCGATCGCCGGATCTTACACCTGTAGATTTTTATTTATGGGAACGCGTTAAATCGCTAGTTTACTGCGTTGAAATAACTTCAGTTGATCAACTGAGATTGCGAATTGTTGATTCATTTGATCAACTTCGAACTGAGATCAATGGTCTCCGCAGAGTGCGCTTTAATTTAAGACGGCGATATCAGGCAGTGTTTTTGAACATCTGCTTTAGTATTTTTTCTTCTTTTTTATTTATTACTATTTGTTTATAATTTTATGTTCTTGTTAATATTTTTGTTAGAATTTTTGTTATGTTCTTGTTTGTTGTAACCGTGAAAATTAAATTTATCGTTTTGGAAATTACATTCTTTTATTCAACTAAAATAAATTAACGCTGGATTTAATTAAATCTGCACTTAGAAATTTATGCAAATAATGGTTATTAGCTCAGTTCGTTTTTCAATTGTCATCGCCAACTCAGATCATACGGAATATGTTTCCTTTTTTTGTTTGTTACGATTGAAATCAAAGCTTAACATTTTTGCGTATAACTCGAAAACGGTCAATGTTATCAAAATTTTCAAAGAGTGATAAAAGTTTCTAAAACAAATTTTCTATTAAAAAGTACAAAAACAAATGTAGGGTTACGTGCGAACAAAAAAGTTCTGAGCAAACAAATTTTAGGTACACCCTGTATAGCATGGTTGCCGCCGCCCGATCAAAGTCAAAATTGGTTCAATGATTTTGCTTGATATATCTTTACCCTGTACCAAATTTCAACGCTCTATCATAAATGGTATTGAAAATATTTAGAAAAATGTGTTAAAATTTCTGAACTTTGATGGCCCATATCTTGGCCATTTGAAGACTTTTATAATAATTTTTTTTCACGAATCGTCATCATTTTTGCTCTAGTATATGAGGTTAATTTTATGCCCCGAGTCACCGGAACACCTGTAGAGTTTGAAAATAATGCCTCTTACACAATATTATTTTTTCATGCATAATATCATTTTTTAATATATGTCAAATATGATAAAGAAATATTACCGCATCATTAGAAAGATTTATTTGGTATATTTAAAAAATTTCAAAAAATATTTGTTGATAGTCATAAAAATGATAATTATGGGTTCAAACTCCAAACTGTGCGACAATTATAAATACGCAATTCAACACGTTCTCCAACAGTCGTTGATCAGAGGAATATAAACCAAAAATAATTAATTTTAGTATAAAAATGTATTACATAATAACTTTGGGTATCATAGCTTTATTATGGATGCTTCGAAATTATTGGAAATGGCACAAAGAAGTAGTACAATATATCGATAAAATTCAAGGTCCAACAGCTTACCCGTTTATCGGAAGTTTACACGTATTTTTTGGAACTACAAAATATGGTAATTAAAAATGAATACTTATAATTAACTAAAACCATCGTATATAATAAAAAAAATATGTTTTTTTAAAGATATCTTCAAAAAAATTAAAGATATTACCGAAAAATATGGACCATTTTTTAGAACATGGAGTAATAATTTGGCGGAAATTCACATTATGCAACCTGAACACATAGAAATCGTTCTAAAAAGTTCAAAATTAATAACAAAAGGAAGAGGTTACGACTTTATTCTGCCATGGTTAGGTGATGGTTTATTAATTAGTAATGGTAATATTAAATTACTTTGAAATACAAAACACTGTTAACTTTTAATTAATTTTAGGTCCCAAATGGTTTCAGCGTCGCAAATTAATAACACCAGCCTTCCATTTCAAAATCTTAGAACACTACATGAATGTTTTTTCACAAAAAAGTCGACGTTTAATTACAGTTTTAGAAAAAGAAGCTAATAACGAAGTATTCGATGTTTATCCTTATATAACTCATTGCGCTTTAGATATTATATGTGAAACTGCAATGGGAGTTTCAGCGAACGCTTTGGAAAATACAGAAAATAATCAGTACGTCGATTCATTATACAAAACCAGTGAATTAATCATAAATAGATTATTTACGCCTTGGTATCATTCAAATTTGTATTATTTATTCCCTGAGGGAAGAGAATTTCAACGACATTTAAAGATTCTCCATGGATTTACAACTAAAGTTATTGCTGATAGAAAAAAAATTTTACAAGAAAATCCTAGTAATAAAATATCATCTTCATCTAACGACGTTTTAATAAATTCGAAACAAAAATTATCTTTCTTGGATCTACTTTTATCTGCGAACGAAACTGTTCCCGATAAAGATGTAAGAGAAGAAGTGGACACCTTTATGTTTGAAGGACACGATACAACAACAGCAGCGATATCTTGGAGTTTATTTTTATTAGGAAATCATCTTGATCTACAAGAAAAAGTCTATAAAGAACTTAAAGACGTTTTAGGTGACAAAAAGTGTCCCGAAACGATATCCGAATTAAACGACTTGCAATATTTAGAATGTTGTATTAAAGAAGCTTTAAGAATATATCCTAGTGTACCAATAATAGCAAGAAAATTAACTGAAGAAATAGTAATAGATGGTTATAAAATTCCTAAAAACGTTTATTGTTCTGTACACATTTATAAGGTGCATAGAAATCCAAAAATTTATCCGAACCCAATGAAATTTGATCCGGATCGATTTTTACCTGAAAATACTACATCACGACATCCATATGCTTACATTCCATTCAGTGCTGGACCAAGAAATTGTATTGGACAAAAATTTGCTATTTATGAAGAAAAAACGGTTTTGGCAGCAATCTTAAAAACTTACAAAGTTATTGCAATTGACTCTCAGGATAATGTAAATGAATTAGGTGAACTTATTATGAGACCTGAAGAGGGTGTTAGAATTAAATTGGAAAAAAGATGAATTAATTATTGTAAATAATAAATTTCAATTTGTACAGTTCAAATTTTCAATAAGATGTATAATAATATGTGAGGAAAAGTGTTTGATTGTAAATAATTGAAAGACCTAGAATAGATAAATAGATGAACCTACAATTTCGGGCCAGTGTTATTTTCTAGATGTTAGTATAAAATTAAAAGTTTATGTCTTTTATTTTATATAGAATTTAAGTCTAACTAGTTTCGGTCCTTGACCATCTTCAGAGACTCTACAAATAGATTAACATCTCTCATCTTATCCATTTTACAAACGACAGCGGTAGTAGCTTTTGTTAACATAAGATATCACTATGTTGCATATTTTTATTGCGTTAAAACTAGAAGTCTGAAGACGCACGGCTAAACCCGAAACTTTCTAGTTCTCAGTCTAGCGTTGGTTCTAGTGGCAGTGGTAGGTAGCGCTAGTTAGCATAAGATATTATTACGTTGGATATTTTTATTGAACTAAAACTAGAACGAGAACTTTAATTCTATTATTATATTCGTAGTAATCTTCATAAAATAACCTTTAAAGTGAGTACAAACTTGACGTATTTGTCTCAAAAAACCAAAAAGTTCGAACTTTCAACTTTTAATTTTGACATATTTGCCAACTTCATAAAAAATCCTTTAAAATGAGTCCAAACTCGACATATTTAACTTTAATATTAATGGAAATACAATCACTTCGGGTTTGAAACGTCAACGTCAATTTTGACGTATTTGTCATCTTCATTAAAAAACCTTTAAAATGAGTCCAAACATGACGCACTTATCTCAAAAAACAAAAAAGTTAGAATAAAAAACATTAAACCCGAAGTTAGCAACAATGAAGATAGCAATTTAATTTTTAAATATTAATACCAACCTTAATTTTTTATTTTTTTTTATTATATTTTTGTTTTTGTGACAAATATTAAGACATTTTATAAAAATTAAGAATATGTCAAAATGACATTGACATTTCAAACCGGAAGTTGCTTATATCTCGAGTAATATTGGAATTAAACGTATCATGTTTGGACTCATTTTAAAGGATTTTTCACGACGATTACAAATATGTCAAAATTGACGTTGACATTCTTAACCGGAAGTTGACCATAACTTTATTAGGATTGAAGATAAATATGTCGTGTTTGTACTCATTTTAAAGGATTTTTAATGAAGATTACATATTTGTCAACTTTATAAAAAATCCTTTAAAATGAGTCCAAACTCGACATATTTAACTTTAATATTAATGGAAAAACAATCACTTCCGGTTTGTAACGTCAACGTCAATTTTGACATATTTGTCATCTTCATTAAAAAACCTTTAAGATGAGTCCAAAGATGACGCAATTATCTCAAAAAATAAAAAAGTTAGAATAAAAAACATTAAACCCGAAGTTAGCAACAATGAAGATAACAATTTAATTTTTAAATATTAATACCAACCTTAATTTTTTTTTTTTAATTATATTTTTGTTTTTGTGACAAATATTAAGGCATTTTTTAAAAATTAAAAATATGTCAAAACGACATTGACATTTCAAACCGGAAGTTGCTTATATCTCGAGTAATATTGGAATTAAACGTGTCATGTTTGGACTCATTTTAAAGGATTTTTCACGACCATTACAAATATGTCAAAATTGACGTTGACATTCTTAACCGGAAGTTGACCATAACTTTATTAGTATTGAAGATAAATATGTCGTGTTTGTACTCATTTTAAAGGATTTTTAATAAAGATTAAAAATATTTCAAAATTGAGGTTGACACTTTAAACCTGAAGTTAGTTATCATGTAATAGAAGTTTTATAACTGAAGTTAATCTAGTGTTAGTCACTTTTCCGCACTTTCTTTTTATTTTTAACGTGTTTTTTGGGGTGATTTCACATTAATTTAAAAAAATCGTTCATTTTTAAGCCAAATGATGACTTTATGATTAAATTTATACCACGATTTACAGAAACATCCCGTGCTTGTGATAGCTGTAAGCTAACATCAGTGTTCTGTGATAAAAATGGACAGACACCAAACAATTTTCAATAGTTTGAGCCTGTCTATTCTGAGAAGTTTTATATTTTTAGAGAGATGAAAACGAAAATCCTATTTTTCTGAACATTATTCATTTGTCGCTTAGTTAAGTGATGCATAACGCGGTCCAATTGTGCAACTTCACAATAAAACGGAATTGGGATACCTTAAGAAATGGTTTTGTAAAGTTCCCCTTACGAATGGAGTGATATATTTGGGGCTACAGTTAAATGGGACGCGAAAATTCTCTGGGGTTTACCATCAGAAACATTCTTCGCAGTATTACGACCAATGATAACTTATGGTGACGTATTTAGTGACCTAGAGCTACAAATTACAATGTGTGGTTTGTATATTTAGATCAATAATAGAAACACGAACAGCAGCAATAAAATAATTTTATGTTTACAAACTTCAAATCTAAAAAAGTTCACGTGGTTGCTATGAGTTGCTTGCGGGAAATAAAGGATTAATTTTATGTCTTAATTTTCAGAAATGAATCAAAGATATATCTTTAAAATAAAGCGGCCTTTTAATATTTCTGCTTTGTAGGGGATCGAAATAGATTTATTGTAAACTGTTAGGAGTTTAACAATAAGTAAAAAAGTTTTCTGCCAATATCTCCCACTGCGCTTCCCTTTCCAATATTAGATCCACCTTCAGTGTATTAGTGCTTTTAGCATGAGGCAATGTTTCCTTAATCGCTATAAACTATGAACACTATATAAATATCAAATATTAAATTTTAATGAATTAATTAAAAAAATCATAACTTTTATTATGATACCGTTAAGTAAAGATTTTCTCAAACAAAAGACTTCTCAACAAAAGATTTATTATTTATTGATTTCTCCATTTGCCTATTCATTACTAATTTTCAATGGGCTCTATTTAAACGCTCGAGTAATGAATTGGTTTTGCGTCAATATTAAAATTAGTTAATGAGGAGAATTATCTATTTGGTTATCCAATCGTTATTTTATGTTTCATTTTATATTGAAGTTTCGCCGCCACATCATTATTAAAATTAATGTCACATAAAAATTACAAGAACATTAGCATATGGACGACACGAACCACTTGTTATAAATTATTTCAATGCTAGACGATGAAAACTGTTTAGTATTGATTTCATGTTTATTTGAGACACGATTTTTTTAGGAAAAACAACATTGGGGAAAAATCGTTACAAGAAATTTCATATAAAATCGTCTTTAATCTTTGATTATAAATGTTTGGTCACCTTGACTAACCCGACTTCAATTATATAAATAAACGTCGGATAGCAGATGGAAGTAAACCGCACTAGTCCAATAAATAACATCGGAATGACCATCCGCTCCATGATTTACATTCAGACCGCTTCCGATATATTCAAATCCAACAATAGAGCCGAATACGATGAGCAAATTTTCATAAAACTCAATTCAATTATAATAATTTAATAAAATCAAATCTAAAACGTTCGTTAAATGTCTTAATTTATTACATCACTGTTTTCGAATTTTATTTTTTAATTCTTCTGTATTACATAACATGATTTTTATAACAACAATATATGATAATGTTATAATCTTGATAGGAACAATGACGAGTTATACAAGAATTTATCATAACAAGGGCACTTATATGCACGAGTTATTTATAAACTTGGCAGACTTTACTTAAAAAAAAAATCACTCACACGTAAAGTTATCTTTTCCTCTCGAGAATATATAGTCTGTTATCTCTGTAATAGTCGATTTCATTTCAATTGACGGTTTAAAATATATCGTACCTACCTATTTACCTGTCAAAAAGCTATTAAGATTTCGTAATAATCAATAAGTTTTCTACTTTGATCAAGTGGAAAAAACACTCAAAATCGTCGTAGTGATAATGGAGATTGAAAAGAGTCAAATATATTAATTTTATTTGGTTAATTTTTCTTCAAAGTTCTTCGAGATAACAAATTTTCTAGATTCTTGTATATCTCTAATTAAATTTGTTTTAAAACGGATTGTATTTTATGATAATTTCTCAATTCGTTCTTGTGATACGATGATGTCAATTGCATTTTTATCAATTAACCACAATAACCGTAGAGTTAGATGTTAACTGATAATTTCAAGCAAAACTAAAGTGTTGAAATATAAGTATATTTCAAATCCATCGCTACAACCTAAGCATAATTAAAACATGCCATGATACAATGAAAAGAATTAATCATTCACTTGGATTCCTAAACTTACTTTAGTATATTTATTTATTCCGCCATCTTATCACGAGTTACCAAAAGCACAGAATCAAGGTCCGTTGCATAAGCATACTGTATAAGGTTATCCAACTCCCTATGAACGCTGTTGTTGTGAACGTATCCGTCTTTAGAGACGTGCGATTCTAGTTCTAGGTATAGTGTTACTTTTAGTGATAGTACTAGTGTAAAACTAGAATTAACACTATACTTAGAACTACAATCATTCGGGTTTAGCCATCTTTAGAGACGTGCGGCTAAACCCAAATGGATCTAGTTCTAGGTATAGTGTTAATTCTACATAGTGACAGTGCTAGTGCAAAACTAGAACTAACACTAGACCTAGAATTAGAAATATTCGGGTTTAGCCGTGCGTCTGAAGAGTCTGAGTATGAAGACGTACGGCTAAACCCGAAACTTTCTAGTTTTAGGTCTAGTATTAGTTCTAGTTTTAATTGTTATGCAGTACTAGACCTAGAACTAGAAACATTCGGGTTTAGCCGTCTTAAGAGACGTACGGCTAAACCCAAATGTTTCTAGTTCTAGGTCTAATGTTAGTTCTAGTGACAATGCAAATGTAAAACTAGAACTAACACTATACTTAGAACTAAAATCATTCGGGTTTAGCCGTCTTTAGAGACGTGCGGCTAAACCCAAATGATTCTAGTTCTAGGTATAGTGTTAATTCTACATAGTAACAGTGTTAGTGTAAAACTAGAACTAACACTAGACCTAGAACTAGAATCATTCGGGTTTAGCCGTCTTAAGAGACGTACGGCTAAACCCAAATGTTTCTAGTTCTAGGTCTAATATTAGTTCTAGTGACAGTGCAAATGTAAAACTAGAACTAACACTATACTTAGAACTAAAATCATTCGGGTTTAGCCGTCTTTAGAGACGTGCGGCTAAACCCAAATGATTCTAGTTCTAGGTATAGTGTTAATTCTACATAGTAACAGTGTTAGTGTAAAACTAGAACTAACACTAGACCTAGAACTAGAATCATTCGGGTTTAGCCGTCTTAAGAGACGTACGGCTAAACCCAAATGTTTCTAGTTCTAGGTCTAATATTAGTTCTAGTGACAGTGCAAATGTAAAACTAGAACTAACACTATACTTAGAACTAAAATCATTCGGGTTTAGCCGACTTTAGAGACGTGCGGCTAAACCCAAATGATTCTAGCTCTAGATATAGTGTTAATTCTACATAGTAACAGTGTTAGTGTAAAACTAGAGCTAACAGTAGACCTAGAATAGTTTCTAGTTCTAGGTCTAGTGTTAGCTCTAGTTTTAATTGTTATGCAGTACTAGACTTAGAACTAGAATCATTCGGGTTTAGCCGTCTTAAGAGACGTACGGCTAAACCCAAATGTTTCTAGTTCTAGGTCTAATGCTAGTTCTAGTGACAGTGTAAATGTAAAACTAGAAGTAACAGTATACCTAGAACTAGAATCATTCAGGTTTAGCCGTCTTTAGAGACGTGCGGCTAAACCTAAATGATGCTAGTTCTAGGTATAGTGCTAATTCTACATAGTAACAGTGCTAGTGTAAAACTAGAACTAACACTAGACCTAAAACTAGAAAGTTTCGGGTTTAGCCGTGCGTTTGAAGACGCGCGGCTAAATCCGAATAAGACCGAATCTTTACCACCAATAGCAACATACCTTGGTAACTCGCTATAATATGGCGTCACATTTGGCGGGTTACTGCCACTGTCACTTCTGGTTACTCTGTAGTATAATTATAATGACTCATGATCAATTACGTCCATAGCTTCTGCCATGGCGTGCATCTAAATCAATAACAATTTGGGATACTAAGTTGGATACTTAGTCAAACTTGGGGTAACACAAAAACTCAAAGCTGCGTTCAGAAATATGGAAAACTCAAGTTGAGGTTTTGGAACATGACTTCTTTTAAAAGGCCAAGTTTATTATTCTACTTCAATTAGAAGAAGATACATTTCTTCATCAATTCTTCAAGAAAAAGAAGGATCAGAAACGTCAGGACTAAATAAGTCCAGAAAAAAGAGTTCTGGAAACTTGATTTATTTTTGCAAATAAAATTCGTTGATATGAAAATGTTGGCAGTCTCTTATCGTCATAATAATGAATGTAGCTCGTACCACTTCATATTCAATTTCATCTTACGAATTTTAAGAGCTTTTTATCAGCAACGTTGTTGTTGTCCATAACCGGCAAAACCTTAATGCATGTTTGCTTTTGTACAAGTAAACATCATGCATACTTTATTAAAGGTTACTGGAAAGGGAAATTATAAAATCGTATATACAGGTTTCCCAAAAGTAACGGATAAATTCGTTAAAACAATTAAGAACAGTTTATTTAAAAATCGCTGAAACGGGTCTAAAGATCTGAATTTTTTGCAATTGTTTGGTATAGATTTTAATTTTTTTCCGCCATTTTTAAACGAGTAATGACGTCATAGTTTTTTTTTCCAAATAGAATACTCTGTTTCTATTACGGAATATGAAAGGGGACATTTTTCTGAATCTAGTACAGTCAATATTAATATTGGTTACATAAGAAAATTTTCGAGAAAAATTATCTTAAAGTTTCATGATTTTCCATTCATTTAAGATAGTAAAATAGCAGTAGCTATGCGTAACCATGGCAACCAACTGTTTGAGATATCAAAAATTAATCATTGTCTTAATAAAATATCTAAAACAACTGGTTGCCATGGTTACGCATGGCTACTGTTATTTTTTTACCTCAATGAATGGAAAATCATGAAACTTTAAGGCAATTTTTCTTATGCAACTAATATTAATTTTGGCTGTACCAAATTCAGAAAAAAATCCTCTTTCATATTCCGTAATAAAAATGAGGGATTGCTATTTGAAAAAAATGGCGATGACAAAAAATTTAAATCTTTACACCCGTCTCAGCGATTTTTCTATAACCCGTTTTTAATTGTTTTAACGAATTTATCCATTACTTTCCGTAAGCACTATACAGGGTGTCTCAGCGAGACCGGTCATTAGACGTTTCTGGGGTTCTGGCCAAACAAAAAATTTGAGAATGCAGACTTAAGTATTATCAATTACGTTCTCTTCATCTAAAATATTTTCAGATTTCTAGCACTTCCGGTTATACCGGAAGTCGCCACCTACTTTATTTTTTTAAATGGAACACCCTGTATATTTTTACATATTTGGATTTGTCTGTTTTGAAGGTTTATAAATAACTTTACTTTTTGCAATTTGATTCGGCCGTTCTCGAGTTATTCGAATTTTTCTAGAAAAATCTGCTCCAGCAGACATTTGTTCAAAAAATCAGAGAACACTCGATTTTTGGGATATCAATTTAGGATTCAGAACATGCTTAAGCAACATGATGGAGTATGTTTTGGTGCCGAGAACGGCTGTCTAGAACGTTTGGTCACTTTACTATGGCACGTTAACTTTTCAAAATTTGGAAGTACCATAACTTCATTTTTTTAAATGGCACCCCCCATATTTTATTACTTAGTCGTCTTTGAAAACCCTTTCAATACTCCATCATGTTGTTTAAGCATATTCTGAATCCTAAATTGATATCCCAAAAATCGAGTGTTCTCTGATTTTTTGAACAAATGTCTGCTGGAGCAGATTTTTCTAGAAAAATTCGAATAACTCGAGAACGGCCGAATCAAATTGCAAAAAGTAAAGTTATTTATAAACCTTGAAAACAGACAAATCCAAATATGTAAAAATATACAGGGTGTTCCATTTAAAAAAATAAAGTTGGTGTCGACTTCCGGTGTAACCGGAAGTGCTAGAAATATGAAAATATTTTAGATGAAGAGAACGTAATTGATAATACTTAAGTCTGCATTCTCAAATTTTTTGTTTGGCCAGAACCCCAGAAACGTCTAATGACCGGTCTCGCTGAGACACCCTGTATAAAGTGATTCGTCGAAAAACCTCTTGGTCTTGGAAGTTGAAATTCTTGCCCGATATTTTATGCCAGCCGAGGTTTTCCAGAATGACTGTCTTAAATCGCCATCTATTTCCACTGAATTAAGTAAAGAATTAAAATGAATAATTTAGCCGATTCAGTTGAATTTAATTAAAAGGAAAACCTCAAGTGAACCGTAAAATTAGACCATATGATGCTTTAGTGAAAAATTCTTGAATGGTGTTGTCTGCAAAACTATACTTTCTGGTCTTTTCTTTCTTTTTAAAGTTAAACTTGATTAAAATATACTCAATATACAGTATAGTTTATTCTTAAAAAATTTAGTTCTAGAATCGAAACTTTTAATATAAAACTCGATAATGATAAAACTATTTACTTTCGAAGGCAAATGGATATTTGTAGCACTGTTTATTTACTATGCAATTTTGATAAAGAATTAACAAAATTGTACCTCGAGGTGTAAATGAAACAGCCCAATCACTTGCAGTTCATGAATAATAAGTAATACTAATCTAAAACATACTGTTTTCTAGAAAGGAGAACCTGTTGTTGTGACCAGTTTGTTATACATTAGAATTCTCCCAATACATCAGAAAATTTAACAACAATCTTTCTCATTTAGCTACAAAAACAGTTTCTCCACAACAACACTTTATTTTTAATACATACTCAGATTCATTGTTTTCAAAGACAAGATGCCCTTCAACGCTATCGTACTCCTTCCCATTTTTGGCTGTACCATCTTCCGTCCAATACGGAACCAAAACACGTCCTCTAGCTCCAGAACACCTATTCACGTTCAGCTCATAAGTACCAACACTTTCAACCAGTTCAAAGTTTTGTTTTGTAAATTTAAAAATACCCCCATGGTCATCGTCCATGATTATTATCGTTGCTAAATTTGGTGAACCGATCATACCGGGGGGTTGACTATTTCTTAATCTAACGTAAAAATGTTCGTCCGCTTCGAAGACGTCGTCGTCGATTACTTCTAAAGAGAAACTCTTTTCTTTTTCGCCCGGTGCGAAATGTAAGGTGCCCTTTGTTGCTATGTAATCAGCTCCGGCCGTAGCCGTACCATCTTCGGTGCAGTAATCAATCATCAAGGGACCATCGACATCTCCATGTCTTAAGACACGGACGTCGAATCTTCCGCAACTTTCTAAAACGGTGTAAGTAGCAGGTTCGAAGATAACTTTACTGGAAGCTGACGGATTAAATTCAGCGGCACCGGATTCTCTTTGAAGTTCGGCTTTAACTTCACTAAGATCACTTTGGGCTCTTTCCGAAATTCGTCTTAATAAATCTCCAGAACCCATTAATTTTCTGGTCGCTTGGATTCGATAAAAAGCTCGAGATTTTGGACCACGATTTAAAAGTAATTCGTGGGCCATCCTTTCTAATGATTCCAAGTCGCATGTTGGGTGTTGTGCTCTCAATTCTTTTAACGTTGTTATGTACTCAGTTTTGATTTCTTCGTGAGCATCTTCCGCGTCCATTAAATCATTAGATCCAAGTTCTAAAGCTTCTGCTTGAACAATAACACCACGCCGATTCATCCGATAACCTTTTCTAATGTATTTATACATTTTTCGATCTGCCATGTAAGCCGTTAAAACAGTGGCAGGAAAGAAAATGAATGTAAGAAGTGCTTCCCAAACTTCAACAATTCCCGGAGTAATAATGGCCAAGATAGCATATAGCCAAATGTAAGCAAACACCGACCATGTTGCGGTAACGAAAAATACGCTTAAATGTTTTATTCGTCTCGTTTCTCCTTTCGGAATAACCGAAACGCAGATGGCAATAATAATAAAAAGGTTATAAGCTGCAGAACCAACAATCGTTCCCGGTCCTAAGTCTCCGGCTTCAAAATGTTTTGCGTAAATTTCAATAACGGATAATAAAATTTCCGGTGCGCTCGATCCAAGGGCCATAAGGGTTAAATTAGCTACCGTTTCATTCCAAACCCTCACCACCAATATATGACGCTCCCCATTCGATTTCCTCACTTTAACCTCCCTTTCTTGCGAAGTAATCACTTCAATGGCAGCCATAAATCTATCCGATATGATTGAAACGCCGATAAAAAGGTACACCAAAGCGATGAAATACACCAAACCACGACAAATTCTTTCCATAGTTGTTAAATCTTGCAAAGGAAGCCAGCATGGTATGACCAAACCATCTGTACATTGGATTAAAGTCGAACTATTATTGTGGGGTTCCCCCATGGTGTTTTGAATGAAGAGAAATAACTGAAGCAGGAAAAAGAGGAAAAGTTTATTCTAAAAGAAGTTTTTAGAATCGATTTTTTCTTTATGGTGTCCACATTACACGAAGACGATGTGAATTTACGATGTAATTCAACGATGGGGACCGCGTCCGGACGGCGGCGACGATGACGACGCGACGCGCACTATTGTTGGTTTAGTACTGGTCGTCGGTTTCGGCTAAAATGTTCCGTCTGAGGTGGGATTCGCGCACACGCGTCCATAGGCGGCCGTTGCTTGGGATAAAGGACTTGGAATCCCGGGGTGTTCGTCTGGTATCCTAGAGACACGTTCTCGGACCTCGTCCTTGAATTTTAAAGGAACAAACTCAACGCAATGTCGTCGTTAACCTTAATCATCAAATTTGCATACTGGATCTTTATTTTTATAATTTTCCGGATTAAAAGTACTCTCCAGTAAACATTAAACAAAAATAAAATTATAAGTGCTAATAAATTTTCAAATTTCAAAACAACTTTTTTAACAAATATGCTACTTTATGTAGTTATGTTTAAAGAGAATTTATATGCAAATTCTTCAACTTGTTATAACGCTTATAATGAAAATAAAAAATGATTGTTAATCAGTATTTGTTTACTTTGATACAATATTTTTGGTTCCCATTTAGGTAGCCAATTTTGTTATCTTAAACGAAACGCAAATGTTTATGTTTGCATTTTGATTGCGAATATATTCACTATGAATATGTAATAGCACAATTTTACTTTTGCCATAAGTTTATGTTTTCACTGCTTTACGATGTGATGCAGACTTTCCATAAAGCGTTTCTGGAGAAAACAGAGGAGTTTGTATAGTGGCTTATAGATAGGTGTTCCACAAAAAATTGGAATCGTCATCGAATGACGAATAAAAAATGTAATTTAATTGTAATATAATTATCAAGGAAGTTGGTCCATCAAGTATAAAACGGTAATTAAAATGGCAGCTATTATTGTGATAGGTAATCAAGACGTTACCATAACTGGTTTAGCAGGAGAAGATAAATATTCGAAAATGCCACTACTTTCTGTTTTCTTGTCACTAGCAAATCACCCTTTATTGATATTAGTGATGGTTATAATTTCTGCTGCATTTTTGAAGTGATACCCTACACTGATAAGATATGTCAACTTATTTGGATCTAAAATACAAAATGAACGTTTTTGATGCTGATTTAACTAACGAAGCAACTCTAAAAAGAGGATACTTTAATTAATAATTGGTGATATTTCCACAACAATCCATCAAGAAATTAATTTTATTATTAAATTTTATCAAAACTTCAAATATTGTTTTCTCAAAAACTAAAAGTTATTTCTCAAAATGTGTTGGTTCATTGGAAAGAGCACATTTTTATTAACATTTTGCGAAATTTTCATACTCATATTCCAAGAAATCGATTTTATACGAATTATTAAAGTTTAATCGACGAAAATTGCAAAATTCGATAAAATTGTCGATTATTTCAAAAATTTATTTCTCAAGAACTAAAAGTGATTTTTCAAAACGGCTTTTTGCATTAAAAAGAGGATACTTTAATTAATAATTGGTGATATTTCCACAAGGATCCTTCAAGAAATTAATTTTATAGCGAATTTTGAAAATTATCGATGAAAATTGCAACATCGAAAATTTTATCAAAACTTCAAATATTGTTTTCTCAAAAACTAAAAGTTATTTTTCAAAACGGGTTGGTTCATTGGAAAGAGGACACTTTTATTAACACTTTGGGAAATTTTCATACTCATATTCCAAGAAATGGATTTTATACGAATTTTTAAAACTTAATCGGCGAAAATTGCAAAATTCGAAAAAATTGTCGATTATTTCAAAAATTTATTTCTCAAGAACTAAAAGTGATTTTTCAAAACGGCTTGTTGCATTAAAAAGAGGATACTTTAATTAATAATTGGTGATATTTCCACAAGGATCCTTCAAGAAATTAATTTTATAGCGAATTTTGAAAATTATCGATGAAAATTGCAACATCGAAAATTTTATCAAAACTTCAAATATTGTTTTCTCAAAAACTAAAAGTTATTTTTCAAAACGGGTTGGTTCATTGGAAAGAGGACACTTTTATTAACACTTTGGGAAATTTTCATACTCATATTCCAAGAAATGGATTTTATACGAATTTTTAAAACTTAATCGGCGAAAATTGCAAAATTCGAAAAAATTGTCGATTATTTCAAAAATTTATTTCTCAAGAACTAAAAGTGATTTTTCAAAACGGCTTGTTGCATTAAAAAGAGGATACTTTAATTAATAATTGGTGATATTTCCACAAGGATCCTTCAAGAAATTAATTTTATAGCGAATTTTGAAAATTATCGATGAAAATTGCAACATCGAAAATTTTATCAAAACTTCAAATATTGTTTTCTCAAAAACTAAAAGTTATTTTTCAAAACGGGTTGGTTCATTGGAAAGAGGACACTTTTATTAACACTTTGGGAAATTTTCATACTCATATTCCAAGAAATGGATTTTATACGAATTTTTAAAACTTAATCGGCGAAAATTGCAAAATTCGAAAAAATTGTCGATTATTTCAAAAATTTATTTCTCAAGAACTAAAAGTGATTTTTCAAAACGGCTTTTTGCATTAAAAAGAGGATACTTTAATTAATAATTGGTGATATTTCCACAAGGATCCTTCAAGAAATTAATTTTATAGCGAATTTTGAAAATTATCGATGAAAATTGCAACATCGAAAATTTTATCAAAACTTCAAATATTGTTTTCTCAAAAACTAAAAGTTATTTTTCAAAACGGGTTGGTTCATTGGAAAGAGGACACTTTTATTAACACTTTGGGAAATTTTCATACTCATATTGCAAGAAATCGATTTTATACGAATTTTTTAAACTTAATCGGCGAAAATTGCAAAATTCGAAAAAATTGTCGATTATTTCAAAAATTTATTTCTCGAGAACTAAAAGTGATTTTTCAAAACGGCTTTTTGCATTAAAAAGAGGACACTTTAATTAATAATCGAAAGTGATAACAGCGACAATTCTGTTAGTAATGAATGTGATGATGAATTACAAGCGAAGAGAAGAAAACTAGACTAAACTGCAACTGACATACCTGATATAAATAAAGTTGTATTCAATGAAAAAAGTTCTATTGGGGTTGAACTTGATCATTATCTGCAGTGTCCAACACCTAAAAGAGATATTAATTCCTGTGAATGGTGGAGTATTAAGTATTAGTATTAAGCCGGATATTTGGTGACTATCCGGTATCCGGACGGATTTTAAAATTTGTGTGTTGCATTTTTTGTTAAAATTTTAATTGTAACTAATTAAAAATGACACTCCTAAAAGATTTGAATATGGGCAAATATTCTAAGAAAGGGGTTGAAAAGTTCCAACAAGATATAAGACTTTCAACGTCAATATGCAGTTGGGTATAATGAGAAGGCAAATTTAAAAATAGGAGATAATGTATAATCAATAAAACAAAATCTATAATAATAAAAGATGGAAATAAAAAAACTAAAAGCTTTATTTTAAATTTATTGTCGTTAAAAAACATAACTTTTTATTTATTGTTAAGTTAATAAAGAACTTTTTGTTAAGAATCTAATTAATGTTAAACAATAAAACTTTAAAAGTATAGGTCGTTTAACGTTTTATTTTTTTATGTATACCAACTACATAAACAAATCTATCACTTTACTTGTTTAACAGTACTTTATAATTTAAAAATATTTTTTTGTTGCTTTTTTTAGATAACTTTTCAAAGAATTCTGATTCATTTCCATCCAATAAACCTACCCGACGTAATTAAATTAATTAGTGTTTAAACTACGACTGGAATTTCTCTTGTATTTGCGTACCTTCCATAGATTATTAAAACTGCGTTGTTCTCGGTCGAAAATCTCGTGCTCAGAATAATTAACTAAGGGAAAAAAATCTGCACTCATTTAATTACTATCATTTCGGGAAATTCCCCAATTCAAATTAAAGTGTTTAATTAAATTATCCTCTACGCAAATTACACTTTTTCTTGTAAATGCACTTCTTAGAGTTTGAAATTCAATCACAATTTGTTTGCTTTAAGATATTGATTTCTGCATTTTGAGAAACGTCAATTATCGAATGATATCGAATTCAATAAGTGGCTCGGCAAGGTGAAACCTACGTTTGCTTAGCACTTCAGATACGAATCAATTCTGAAAATCGATATTGGTTTTTTATGGAAAGATTGGATCTTTCTGCGTCAATGTAGACCGACGCGGATATTCGAAAAAAGATTGTTTGCGTCAGAGAAAAACGTCCACCTTATAATCTATTGACGCAGAAATGTATTACATACTTTGTCTTGCATAACTTTAATTGAGTACCTTTTACACAATCTTTTCTTGTTCCAATTATTTCTTGATAATATATTTTCAGATAAATTTCTAATAGAAAAATTAAGTATTGAAATGCTTTTATAACCAATTCTTATTATAAAATCGTTAATTATTACATAATAATCTATAATAAATTAAATGAAATTAAATCTTTAAAAAAAGTTTTTTTACTCCCATCTATTGTCAACATTCATCATTATAAATATTTACAGATTTCTTTTCTTCTTTTTCGTACTTATTTGACAGTTTTAACAATTAACCTAAAATAATTATTTGCCATTCTATTTTCATTGTTATTGTGTAAATCAATTAAAATGGGATGTGATGGTGGAACTATTCCTCGTAGAGATGAATTAGTTAAAACCAAAAAGAAACCAGAAGCAGTAAATATAATAACCCAAAAAAAAATTCCTAACCTCAAAACAATAAAAAACTTTTTTATAGAGAGATAAAGACTCTGAACTTGCTTTCCGTTGGAGACACTGTTCAATAAGCCAACAAGTACTAGAAAAACCTATCGTTATGTGTGGATTGGGTCAATTATACAACAAAACATCTTTAATTGAAGCTTTAATCACTAAAAGTTCTTCTTACGAAAGTATTAAACACATTAAATCTTTAAAGGATGTTAAAGAATTAAATCTCACCTCTAATCCTGCATATAATGGTGGCGAAAGAAAAGAAGGCGAACCTACCAGTGATGATATAGCTCCATACATTTGTCCAGTTATAGGGCTTGAAATGGCTGGAAAATTCCGTTTTGTTGGTATTTGGTCTTGTGGTTGTGTATTTTCTGAACGCGCTTTGAAAGAAATTGATACTACTATATGTCACAAGGTAAAAATTAATTTCTCTTCATTAACATGATTCAACTTGGAAAATTTTTAGTGCCAAAAGTCTTTTACTCAAGAAGATGTTGTGGTGTTAAATGGAAATGAAGAAGATTTAACGTTGATGAGGTCTAGATTAAGTATTAGGCAGCAAAAAACCAAAAAAATTAAAGTCAAATCAACACAGCAAGAAGATACAATAAAAGAAGATGATACCAAAAAGGTAATTTTATAATAAAATAAAAATTAATTACTAATAATTATTTATTTTAAAACAGGTACAAGGGCAAAGTAAAGTTAAAATGACTAGAGATACTCCTTCAACATCCACATCAACCACATTAAGTAGTTTACAAAAGCGACCAGGAGCTTTAGTAATCAATAAAGATACTCGAGTAAAAAAAATGAAACCAGATTATAGTGTGGCTAAAGATCCGAATGCATCAGATGTTTATAAATCATTGTTTACTTCTCATAAATCTGAACAAGAACAAAATAGAGCACATTGGGTGACATATAATCCTTTCTACAATTAACAGTAAATTTATTTTTAGTATTAATCATTTTTTATTGGCACTATTAATTTTTATTAGAATACTATTTTTTTTAATAAACATTGTCGATGGATGAAATTGTTGCTTCGATTAATAATCCAAAGTCTAATTCGTTTAGACTTGCTTTAGCTGTTAGTAAATCCAAGAATGTGTCTAATGGAGACAATCTGTCGTGTGTTGGAAAAGCTGCAAAACCTAAAATTAATTTTCATTAATTATCAAGATATAGAATTAATAATTAAGGATGTAAAAAAATAATTATAATGGGATATACATTTACAATACATAAATAAATATAAATCACTATTTAGTATAACAAATACCATGCTTTAATTTTTTCTCATTACCCAATTGGTATTTGGTGGTCTTCTGAGAAGCACTTAATCGTACATTTTGACCCTCCACACCCGATAGAATATTTGTAGCATGTTCTCTGGCTCTTATCATTAAACTAACTGGATGATGCCATTGATTTAACAAACGTTTTGCTCGCATTCTTGGTAGAAATGATAATAATGATAATTTTCTTTTTATATTTTCTGTGGTGTCATCCATGTCTTAAAAAAATGGTTAAACATGATATTTTTGTAAATAAGTATAAAATTAAATAACTAAAAGTTGATTCCCATATCCTCAACAAAGAGAATACAAAATTTATCTTATGAAAATGCGAAGAATATTGGTTGTAATTATGGAACTCACTGATTTTGAAGACAAAGAGTTATTAATAATGCATTATATGCTCAGATATGCTTGGAATAACAACAAAAGCTAGAACTAAACACGTTCGTGTTTACTCGTTTTGAAAGACGAACTGTTAAATCCGTTAAGTTGGGTAAAAAATGGAAAAAGTAAAAACTTTTTGTGAGAAACAACAAAATACTTAATTTATTTCAATAAATAGACATGTTTCGAAACAAATGTTTCATCTTCAATACTTCAAAATAATTACAAAATGATGGAAACATCTTTTTTTAAATATGTTGGGAATAGGTCTGATCTTAAAAACAAAATACTTCTAAAAAATTTTTTTACAAAAACAAAGTAAATCCTTAAATTTCTTGAAAATTAACTTATCTAATAATAATATAATTTTGATAAGTTAATTTCCAAAAAATTAATTAAGTATTTTGTTGTTTCTCACAAAAAGTTTTTACTTTTCCATTTTTTATTTAACTCCTGAGAAATATGGAGAATTTCATCCCTTTTTTAGTTGGGCCTAATGTTAGTTCTAGTGATAGTATTAGGTCTAGTTTTTGTTGTTATTCAGTGCTAGATTGTTGCATATTTTCAATGAAATAAAACTAGAAATAACACTAGACCTAGAACTAGAAAGATCCGTTTCGTCTTCAGTCTTTCAATGAAATAAAACCTAGAACTATAAAACTAGATATAGTGTTAGTTCTAGTTTTACACTTGCACTGTCACTGGAACTAACACTAGACCTAGAACTAGAATCATTCGGGTTTAGCCGTCTTTAGAGACGTGCGGCTAAATCCAAATGATTCTAGTTCTAGGT